ATATGCAGACAGTCTTCAGTTTTTAAATAAACTAATACAGTAAAACAGGTAATATTAAAACTGATTTAAAATATAGATATCAACATTGTGTGTTGTGTTAGGCATGTGCCTTGCTTGCACTATGTTGTGATTCTGTCCTTCAGTATAACATTTTTCCCCCATATGGTTAGTTTTGATGAAGGATATCTGGGTTTGTAATCACTCCGGTTGTCTTGAAAATTATTCTGTGGTTTTTAAACTACTATGTGCCCCCTTCCAGTTCTATAAATTTTCACTAGCAATTTTTAAAAATATAGATTTACATTTCACATTATTTCAGAAGTTATTACAGGAAAATCTGCTCAGACTAACCACTTCATATAAGGCAGATTAGAAAGATTTGAATAAATAAACAAGAAATTAACTTGTAAATTGGTTGCTCAACAGCTGAAAACTGACCATCATTGTAAGAAATTATTTCTGATACTGGATGGAGATAAGCATCTAATTTAAACAGATTTTTTGCCATACTTGCACTCAGTGTGATAAATAATAATATGCTGTTCCTTAAGAAATACTATGGTCAGTTACATCTGCACAAACAAGACTACAACTGATAAATAAACGAATTCTATGATTGACCAGTGTGATTTTCTGTACATTCATCTAAAGTAAAGCAAAGTGCAGTAATCCAATATAGCTTTATATGCTGCTAATAAAGTTGATTTGACATTCTGTGAGAGAAGTACGTGTGTAAAACTTTGAAGGGGAATTTTTTTTATAGTCTCTGTTTGGAATAACAGATACATAAGCATACATTTTCCAGTACTCTGCTTTTTCTTATTTCTAAAAAGCAAAGAAATGAGAACTACTTCAAAACTGCTGCGGTTACTTGACTATAAATCATTGAGATGAGATGGTGAAATATTAGTTTGGGCTGGTTCAATTACATCTAGAGGAAATAAAACGTCAGAGGTTTGGGCCAATTCTCTCCTATGTGTTTTTTCTTACACAGAAATCTGGATACAGCTAGACATGTTTTCTTAGAAACACTCCTGTTTGTTCATGGTTGGTGAAATGAATGCGAAATTGCTACAGCAGTGACAGATTTACAATTGGTTTAATAGTTTGGATTGCTTGGGATGATTTTTCGCCAACATATTGCATTGCAGTCCATGACATTCCTAAGAGCGGTATACACTTGGAACAGAAGTTAAATTCTCAAGTTGTAATGTGATTGATGGATTGATTGGATTTTTAGCCTGCACCATTAGTCACATGGCTTCCTGGGTGCGTTACTGTATTTACTGTCTGTATTGGGAACATCTAATGGGAACATCTAAGTCCAGGAAATAAGGCTTGAGTCATCCCAAATGGAATATTGACAAAAATGTATGGTTCAGTTGCCATGGGCCTTGAGACAGCCAAATTAATCAGAAAGGGAATAACAGGATTCTGCAACTCTGGGAACAGTCTACAGAGCTACCTCTTAACCCTTGAGGGTACTGTCTCACCTGTTGCAAAATCTGCTTCAATATAGACTGCAAGACTTGTTCTCAGATTCATCAATAATTAATCTCAGATTCAACTAAGAAAGATCTCCCAGAAAGAAGCATACTTACTCTAGTGTCACTTATGCTAACCTTGAATCTGGCACCCCATCATTGGATTAGATCCAAGAACTGAAATTATTAAACTGCCTTATTAGGCACAAAGAACCACTGAATTTCGCAAAGATTAGAACAGTATGACAAACAAAAATAGATGATATCAGTAGAAAAGTTAAGTTCTGTAAAAGTTCCTTGGAAATAGAGTGGAAAGTATGGATCAAGACACCTGAGTTGATGGTGGTGAGGAAAAAGATAAACCTGATACTAAGGTCAAGAAGAACATTGCATGTTTAATATTTTGGAAAAAAATATTAACCATCTCTGCAAGACTTGTATAACATTAAGAAGACGATGACAAACTTCAGGAAAGCTGGTTACCTCTTGATAGGAGGATTAAGAACATAAGAAAAGCCATGCCAGATCAGACCCTCCAACATCCTGTTCACATGGTGACAAAACAGCTACCCACAGGATCCCTCAAGAATATATAAGAGTTCCATCTGCCCAGGCTTCTGAGCAAGCATGCCACCAGTGGCAATTGGTAGCCTCCTTGCATGAATTTGTCCAGTTCCCCATTTAACTTTGTGCTGTGTAGCTAAGTGCCTTTATCTTGGCTAAATCTCCAACCAGCGAGTGTCACAGTATGAGTCTGGGTTCTGGTATTATGAGAGAGGGAGAAAAATGTCCCCTTTTCCACAGCATGCATAATTTTAATTATTAATTATTCCAATCCTTTCCTAATTATGCTGACATGGAAGTTGCCTTTTTGAAAGAATCTGTGCACCAGCTTGACATTTTCATTGAGCTGTCCACCCACCCTCCCATATCCCTTTCTAGATCAGTCACTGCTAGCTCAGATACATCCGCCTGTATCTAAAGTTAGGAGTTTTTGCTCCAACGTGCATTACTTAACACTTTTTTTACACAACTGTTCTTGCCATTTTCTTGGCTTGCAGAGAACTGTTAGGAGCGTCTCACAATCCATGTTTGTTTTAGCTACCCTAAAAAAATTGTTGTCATCAACACATTGGCCACTTCACTGCTTATTCCTAATTCAGATCATTTATGAACAAATTGAAAGCATTGGCTTTATTACAGAATGCTCTGGGATTCCATTCCCTCTATTGGGAGAAATCACCATTTATATCCACTCTCTGTCTTCTGTTCTTTAACCAGTTACTAATTCATAAGAGAACCCTTCTCCTCTATTCCATGACTGCAAAGTTTTCTCAGGTGTCTTTTATGAAGAACTGTGACAAAACCCTTTTGAAATTGCAAGTAAACAGTATCTGCTGAATTACCCTGTCCATGTGCTTACTGAAACTCTCAAAGAATTCTTACAGAGGCATATATGAAGGTTGGAGAGTTCTGCTTTTCACTTCTTGGTCAAATTTGCTTAGGTGAGAGCATTGAACTAGTTCAGAGAACTTTTAGCTCATCTATTTCATTTCATGTTTTTGGAGGATTGAGAGCTCTTCATCTTTCTCATCTGCAACCCCATAAACTTCAACAAAACATCAAATATTTTCCATCTTATTCACTTTTCTCCAACAGGGCATTACAGTAAAAACTTCATCAGGAATTCTGCACTTCTTTCATAGGTCCACAAAAGAATGCAGACCTCTGGACCTGTCTCTGACATCTTGGATGCAGTGACAGACTCAGCATTCAACCTAAAGCAGTAAAATGTACTCCTTGGGGTGATGGTCTGCAGTTTGTAGTGTTTATTAATGCCTCACTGGATAGGAAAAGTATATTTAATGTGTTCGGCCCTGGCTTAAACATTACTGATAATCGACACGTGCCTAGTTGTTAATGTTATATGCTAGTATTTGTGAAATGAACTGTTTTGAGTGGTTCTTATAATTATGTACTTGCTGTAATCCATATACTCGTATGTTTTCTATTATTATTATTATTATTATTATTATTATTATTATTATTAATACTTATATACTGCCTCATAGCCCATGTGGACTGCCCAGAGAGCATTGACTATTGGGCAGTATAGAGATGAAATGAACTAATAAATGAAAATATTCCTGGAGTTGTTTTGTGCATGTACAGAATTCTCACATGTATGACTGCACTGATGACCATGCAGAGACCTTGAGTTTAGAAGCCATTAACTAAAGTTAGTAGTAGAAGTAGCATATGTAAGTATACTGGTGTCCTTGAGAATTTCAGGCTGGCAGAATGGAAAGTGATCCCCACCTACCATAGTATCCCCAGTAGTGCTCTGACTTTTTAGGTTTCAGAAGAAAAGTAAAGCCAAAGCATGGCTCCACAACTTGTACACTCTAAGGATATGTAAAAATTTCTCTAGTTATCTTGCTGATACTGCACTAATCTAACTGGTCAAAAATGTTTCTCTTAAAAATCTGTGTTCTTCCCTCCCTCCCTTTCTGAGGAATTTTCAAGAAGTAATTACTTTGAACACTTAACAGTCACATGCATATTATGCCTGCTGTTACTTTTGAAGTTAATCATTGCTTTGAGAAACTGAACTTGAATTCAAGGTTGCAAGGAAACTGAGCACCAGACGGGCAGAAATTTGTGACTCTTTCCAGTATTATGCAAGATAATGTATGCAGTTTCTTTTGAAGTGGGCACTGACACAAATAAGTTTGCTGTGAAAACTTCAAGCAACTTGGCAACACCATACCATGATATTACAACATGCTTTTCTGCTTAATTAAGAATGTAAACTGGTTCTGATTTCTCTGAGTATCTAAGAACTCCCTTGTATATTTGGAAATGGAAACATGTTATTACAATAGGTCATGTAAAGAATATATAACTTTGAAACTTGGGCTCTGAAATCTTAAATAATAGAGTAATAGGCTATGATCTATGTAAAAAAGAATTAACAAATCTAACATCTGGAGGATTAGAAAGCTCTAGGAACAGCAAGCACCAGGAAGCCAGCCAACATTAGTTGCTGAATTTAGGACACAGGGGCTGAAATGTTTGGACATATAAAAGAACAAGGCAAGCTGGAAGGGAAAAGAGTATTGGAGAAAACCGGAGGACAACATCCTAAAGGGAAATCCAGAAATAGATGGGTGAACTCAAGATGTATGTTGTGTGTGGGTAAAATGTCAAGAATGTTGACATTTGCATGATAGGGAGAATGTGATCTGGACATGTTTCACTTGTAATTAAGCAAGAATGCATTTTACAAACTCACCCACATTTAATGCATGCCTTGTTTCCGCTATACTTTAAATTATTGTATATTTATAGTATATTATAGACTGTAGATCAACACAATGTTTCTAGAAATTAGAATCCAAGAGAAGCCTTGAAAATCATGTGAATCCACTTAAATAGTAATGTAAAATAATACTCTTCAATTTGGGAAAAGGTAAAATATTTGTTAAACTGTACTGATACATATTGTTTTTGCAGATTACAAACAATATTTATGAAATTTGATGAAGTGAAAAATTGTGGCAATATGATTTCAAGCAACATCAGTGGTGAGTATCCTACATTGTATGTGAGCTGTCTATTAAATGTAGCTAAACTGCTGAGCTGCTGGGCTGGTTGATTGAAAGGTCACCAGTTCGAATTTGCACAATGGGGTGAGTTCCCGTTGCTCCGTCCCAGCTCCTGCCAACCTTGCAGTTCGAAAGCATGCAAATGCAAGTAGATAAAAAGATACCCCTTCAGTGGGAAGGTAACAGTGTTCCGTGCACTTCAGTGTTTAGTCATGCCGGCCACGTGACCATGGAGACTGTCTGCAGACAAGCGCTGTCTCCCTTGATTAGGAAATGGAGATGAGCACCGCCCCCTAGAGTCAGGCATGACTGGACTTAACGTCAAGGGGAAACCTTTACCTTTAAGACACCTAAAGAGATTTTAGCATTTTAAATCAACATTAGTCTGCCTTATGCTTTGTAACAGTTGATCCTTCAAAACATGCACAAATATAGTTGTAAAAATGTCATGAGCAGAGCTGGCTGGAGCTGGGGGGACAGACTAGATGGCCCAGGAGACCCCTTCTGACTCACTCTGTTTCTGTGTTTCTAAAAACCTATGGTGTCGAATGTGAATGTTTGCTTCTGAGAATTGTTCTTGCTGATAATATTGCAACTTTGATAAGGTGGACTTGGCATAGTTTCAGTTTTTTACACAATTCAGAAATTGCTAGGCCAGTATAGATACCAAGCGTGAACTAGGAAATCCAGATTCAGACAACTCAGAGTTGGGTTCAGGCCCATTGCAAAGAGCTCTGCCTACATGTCCATGTTAGCTCTCAACTTCTGGTACATTTTGAGAATAGGGGTACTTTTTTGTCTGCATTGTTACTTTTTCACATTCTCATTTAACAATTATATTTCTACATATTTAGGGTATGTCTAAGGAATATCTAAGAAACTTTTTCCTGTTGGTCGATTGCCACCTTGGTGTGTGTAAATTTGTTGGTCTAAACACAGAATTTAATTCTGCCCTATTTGTCTTAGCTTCTGAGGGCGTTTTCCATTTGTTTTCATTATTTTGTGGTTATTCATATGTGAATGGTATTCGTGCTACTTGCTACTTCTGTTGTCTTTTCAATGCTGTAGTTATTCTTTTAAGGTAGAAGTATCACTGAATTTATCCAAAGCATATATTTTGCATTTAAGATAGGGGTTTCTGAAGGGTTCCTCACATTTTGGTTTTCTTTCCATAGTTTGTTGAATCATTTCATACAGCTGGTTTTTATTGGTACAAGCACAGACTCTGTTAAAAAGATTTGTTCACAAGAGCTTTGCCTTCTGTGAGCACTTCCAGGATATCCCACTCATCAAAAACACTTTTCCTTTATTTTCAATGGGCAGATTTCACTACCATTGTCATATACCATGGTCAGCCAATAACATGAGCTAATATTTGTGCTTATAATTCAAGAGATGTATAATATTTATGTCCATACAGAGTTGCTGTAGATTGCCTTGATGGATTTTTTTTAGCAGAGAGCCAGTGTGGTGTAGTTGTTAAGAGAGTGGGACTCAGGTGATCTGGGTTCTAGTCCCCACTCAGCTATGGAGTGAACAGTGGGCCAGTCACAGACTTGAAGCCCAACCTACCTCACAAAGTTGTTCTGGGGTTAAGATTGAGTGCAGGAGGAGAAGAATGTTGTAAGCTGCTTTGAGTTTGTTGTAAGACAAAAGTGGGATATAAATCAAATAGATAAATAAATTTTAATAAGACTAAGTGCTTCATATAACCTATTTATTCATTTCTATACTGCCCCATAGTCAAAACTCACTGGGTAGTTTACAGCAATGTATAATACAGTACAATACAATTACCATAAAAGCAACCATGTTAAAATGATTTTAAAATTAATTAAAACAGTTTTTAACATAGAGTAAAAAAGACACTATGAAGGAAAAAATCACCTGGATAATCCTCTCAGGCCCCTGGATAACCAAGGAGATCTTTAAAGGCCTCCTCGTAAAGATCTTGCACTGAAAAGATGGCAAGATTGGCGTTGGGCAAGCCATAGAAGGGAGGTTGTTCTAAACATGGGAGGCTACCACAGTAAAGGCCTTCTCCTTATAGCCTCCCTGCCAGCCTCCTGTGGGGTTGGCATTCAGAGGAAGACCCCAGAAGTTGAGCTTAGTGTCCAGAGTTTTATCTTTTGCAGTTGTTTAAAGAATACTGTGTATTGATGGGAAATCAGGCTTTCTGGCCACAGAATGAGAATTTTAACCTGTAAGACCAAACACCATGATACTCACTTATAATCATATAATCATAATACTCTGAGTTCCAAGTATTGTCACTCTGTGGGTATCTTGTTGTATTCCTGCTGTGGAGTTTAGTTATACTCTTGTGATGTTAGATAATAGCATTACTGTTGCAAATCTGTGCAAGTCTCTAACCTATAATAAGTCCTGTCATTTTCAGGATCTGTGTACTGCATGGCACTGGGGCTGCATGGCATGTATGGTGTGCCTTTCTGCTACTTGCAAGTCTTAAGGCTATCAGCTCTGTTCCATTTTTAACCTCATCAAAATTTATGTGGTATTCCTCCTAACGAGGTGTGTTAAGCTTCTCCTATTTATCAGCAAATGAACAACCATTTCCATGGAAACGGACAGTACAGACAGCAGCAGAGCTTACAGAGCTCCTATTCTCAGGGCCTGCAATCTGTAAACGCTGTTCCTTCTACAGGATTTCAGAGGATTCCTACATGATATTTTAAATGTTAGGGAAGAGGATTATGATTAAAAATTGCTAAAACCATCAGTGTTACCTCATGTTCACAATGGTCAAACGTCATCCAAGTGATCTAAATAGGTTTTCAGTTCATCCATAGTGACTTCATAATGCCTGTTTTATAAACATATGGGTTTGCATGGACAGAGAATATGAAACTTTATTTTCAGAGACTTTGAACATCATGTGAAAAAACGATTATATTACTCCCAACAAATGACACTGAACTACATGTCTCTGCACCACAGATACATGCCCCTTCTTTAAATGGCATGTAGCTCTATTCGCTGAATGTCTTTGCTCTACTTGAGATACCAGCCGCTTATAAATTATATAGAATTGTTACAGTCATTGAGCTATGAAGAATATGCACAAATACTAATTTTCAAATGAAAATCAGAAGGCAAAAGCTATTGTTTGGGGAATAATGTAACTGTACATATTGTTTTAGCTATAAACACATGAGCTGGCATGTTTTACCTTATTACACAGTATTAGACTAATTGCACTTGACTGCTTAAAGCATTGCAAATAAATAAATAACATTCACCAGACATTTAAAGAAGGCTTTTAAGCCGGCTTTTCCCACTGATAAATATTTGTATATAGCCAACTGAAATTCTTTTGCAAACTGTTCTCATCTGCTTCCTTTCACCCGTTTTAGATGTTCTAGTGTTAATGGATTTTTCCTGCATACATTCGCATAAACTGTTAGTCTGTGTGTCTTCTGTCTGATTACCATGTTATATTTTATTTGTATACTCCCCAAAAGTAGAAGCAGTCTGGGTGTTTCACAACAATCAAAACCAAAAAGTACAAGGTGATAAAATACAATATAACATTTCATACAAGATAAAATGCAGATTTCTTTCATTCCATTAACTCTGTGATTATTGAACAAATGAATTGAGTGTGGAAGCTGCTCATCCTTCAGGTCTAGAGGTTTGCTGAAAAAATAGATTTGAGACCAAAGATGTCCTTGAGAACAACAAAAACAAAAATCTGGGAACTCTGACTTGTCAACACTATGATATTAGCCCTTGGTTTCAGGCACTAATGAACAGTGGGAATAGCTGCAGTAGCCATGGGAACCAAAGACTGCGTTAGGCTGGAAGGTTGGGGACTGCATTATCTGCTGAAGTGAGTGAAAAGGATGGAAGGGGAATGAATGACAGTGGAGGAGGAGGAGGAGGAGCTGTGGTTATGACTGTCTCAAAATTTAGTAGCATGAGTGCTTTCCCTCTTACTTTCTGGTGCACCTCCTCTCACTATCAGGGGAGATAAACTGGTAATAATGCATCAGGACTCTGAAGCCATTTTGCAGAGAAGCAGGAGGACTAGAGGTAGGTTGACTAGTATTTCTAGGTAGGCACTGGTGGGAATAGAGGAATTGTACAAGATGGTTTATTCAGTTCTGCATTTACAGAACTGGGTAGTAATTAAGCTTATAGTTGGTTTTAACATTTTAAAATGGAGGAGGGCTTTCTCTGCGGTGGTGCCCCACCTATGGAATGCTCTCCCCAGAGAGGTCTGCCTGGCGCCGTCGTTACTTGTTTTTTGGCGCCAGGCTAAGACCTTTTTATTTAAAACTTAATTTAATTGTTAATTTATTATGTATTTATAGGATTTTAAATTTTTAGCTGAGATGTTACTGGGCTTTTTAAATCTTTATTTATTTAGTGTTATTTATATGTTTTTAATTATGTTGTGAGCCGCCCCGAGGCTTTGTTGTGATGGGGGCGGCATAGAAATGTTTTAAATAAATAAATAAAACATTTTCCCCAATGTTCCCCCTATATGTTTAAAGGGTAGATTTGGGTGAGATAGCAATTGATCTGAGGTCACCTGGTAAGCTTTATGGTTATGCAGGAAGTTGAAATAGTGTCTCCCTGGTCCCAGTTCTTGTCTGGGTTTCTAACTACTATGTCACACCGGTCAGTCTTCTGGTCCCTGATCTTCTCACTGCAAATTTCTGCAGTTCTACCTCTCATGAACCCTTATGAGCTTGGTTAGTGGAGCAGGAAATATTCCTATATGTGACTAAATAGACTGTGTAAAGATTTTTTTAAATCAATGAAGTTTTGTGGCTGTGCTTGGATTTCTTGTGAAGAAAGCTTTCTAAGAGTAGATCATTGTTCTAAATAGTTTGTTTACACAGTGCTTAAAGCAACCCATACTGATATTTTTGTGTGTTTTTATTGGTTACACTGTTATACTGCTTCATGCATTTCACAAAAATTTGTGGGAACTGCTTGCCACAATTCTTTGT